TGTAATTAAAAATTAAAATTTCGTTGAACTATCCTTGGTTTGCACAAAAAATTAAATAAAAAAGAAAGTAATAATGGTATAATTTACAAGTTGCATTACACAAGTATGTTTCCGGCAAAATGAAAATAGACGTGCTACGAAGTGGAAGAAAATTTGATGATAAAACAATGAATCTGCCATATGTGAATAAAATAACTACTCACTAAAATACATTGTATTGTTAGGAAATAGTTTTGATGAGTGTGTCTGGCACACTTGATCTGTCAAAAAACTGGCTAGTTTGAAAAGAGTTTTTCATCTCAAAATTATTGTAGAACATCCACAGGTATCAGTTTTTTTTTTTTTTTTTTTTAGCAACTTTTTTTTTATGCCTCGAAATTTTCCGAAAATTATTAATAGCACTTTAAATCACATCATTTCAAGATCGTTAGATCGTAATTTTTCTAATTTGGGTAGCATAAATATGGTGTTTTCGGTAACTTTCAACTTAATTATGCTCGTCTCTGTGTCATTTATGAACGATGGGTGTACCTGTTGTATCTCATAATTTGGTGAGCGTAGGCTATTTTTCAAACTCTCAGTGATTTACGACTGTACTGATCCATCCGTCGGAGAGAAAAATTCATCTCCTGGTATCGCAATTTATGGCTCGATTGACAAACAACTGCAGGATATCATTCCTCGTGATTGTCATTCCACATGTTTAGTTTTTATATTAGACTAGACGTATAAGCTGGACTAGAAATGAAAAATCAAACGCGATCACAATAATTCAACCCACGCTATACCTTATATATACATATATGTGGCTTAGGAGTACAGCCAAAAATAATGTGGGTCAAGTGCGAGAGATGAACGGGGTATAGACAAACAACATCTATAGTAGCAGAGACAAATTGGGAGAAACGAGGGAAATGGATGCAAATATATAATATGCAGATGGTAGGGAAACAAAAGGGAGAAACCAAACGGGGAAGTAAACAACTTGATGTCTGTAAAAAACGAAAAGTGCAAGTATACAACGAAGAAAAAGAAAAGTGGTCCCTGACTTTTGGCACTCGGCCACTGATTTTCGCGAATAACAATTCGAAATGCACGTTAGTCGGCTACGTGTACTGTGAATTAGTACAATAAGTTTCAATTTGACCTCGTGCTTTTTTCTTTCAATTTCGTAATGGCCATCCAAAACTACGGGTAATACTTGTATGACTCATAGCTCAAAAGTGCTCGTTTCGTTTTTTATCAAACATTGATAAGACTTTTTTTTTTTTAGAAATGATGTAGAAACTAACTGATACATCAGAAAAAAATATTTTCTCACGATTTACACGACCGTTATACATTTAACGTTCCGAAATGTGATATCTCTTACCCTGTAGAGTCCACAAAATGTGGCTAACATATGGAATGAAAAAACTTATACTCTTTGAATTTGAAGCACTTGAAATTTTTCTTGTATTTAAATAGTGAAAAAATAGTGGTATTGATTTTGTGTAATTTTGTGTAAATGGTGAAATTGATATTGAAAAAATAGTGATGTGACATGTAAATTAAACAAGTGAAACTTTAACTGGTAGAAATGAAAAACTATAGTAGTTTACTATTTCACAGCAAAAATCCACTGTCTCTACAATTTAAAATCCATACATCTAGGAAGTAATCGACACTACGCTCAAGACGTGAAATTACACCACGAAAAAATCGCTAGTAAAATTTTCAACTTTATAGAATGACACTCTACATTATTCCCGTGAAACAATTTTTTTTTCCTCTTGTACACAAACAAAGGGGATATCAAACGACGAAGCGAAGAAAAAAAAAAAAATTTTCTCAGACGAATCAGTGATCGGTCCCTCTCTCCAAAAGCCCGATAAGCCCTCCCCAAGACCGGAGAATCCCTCCGAGGGTGATTTATATAAAGGGCTCTTCTCCAAAGCTGGGAGCAAAAAAAAATCACCGACAGCCCCTCCTTACTATTTTCATTCCGAAAAAGGTCACGGTGCATACATATATACTTACAGAAGGAGGAGACGGATCTCTCTCTCTCTCTCTCTCGCTGACCTCTCGCTAACTCCGTACACGCCCCTCACGAGCCGATCGCGCAAAAGTACACTGTATGATATATACGTACGCGCAACCGCGATTCCACGAAAGCGCCTCATCCGCCGTATCGGATATCGCAAGAAAAAAAAAAAAAAAAAAAAAAAGGGAGGGAGTATAGCAAACAGCAGCGACTACTCGGCATGGTCCTTTTCTTTCACTCCCTATCTTCGACAGCATCCTTATTACGCCGCGCAACGTCAGTCAGTTGTAACCGGTGCAGCTGTTGGGTACACACACACGACCTCGCGCATGGTCGTCTATCAAACACACGCGGGGAGAGTAGGTATAGTTCCTTCTTTCTCCCGTGCACGTATATATAGTACGTAACCGCGTCAAGGATAAAAAGCCACGCAGAGCAAAACCGGCGAGACGAGAGTGAGGGGGGGCCCTCCCATTTTATACAGCAGCACACGCTGAACTTTTTTTATATGCGTATAAGTATATAGATACGCCTGTATACAAGCTTCTTGGTGGAACTGGACCCCTGGGCCCTCCCGGGCGAAGCGAGTTCTCTCTCCTTTCCACCTGTCCCTCTTATGGGACCCACTGTGGGCCTTGCCTGTATACAGAGGGGGGGGGCTTATACTCGTTTGTCTCCCCTATATATACAGAGCGCGTTGTCGATATACGTATACTTGTACGCTCCGTGCGGTGTGCAGCTAAAAAAGGAAGGGAGGGAGAGAAAAGCGCGTCGACGTCTGGCGAGTGAGTGGTGGGTTTTTTTTTTTTTTTTTTTTTTAAAAAAAAAAAATAAAAAAAAAAATTCAAATATAAAAAAAACCAGTGCTCTAAATTGCAATCGGATAAATAAATCAAANGTGAAATATTTGGACAAACGTTATAAAATATCCTCGAGTCAAGTATCGACTTAATGAGTGAAATCTAAAAAAATTAAAACGCTAGCCTATGGTACACACAATAGATTTTTTTCCTCTCAAACGTTGCTAGGAGAAATTAGCTACTCTTGGTACACAATCACAGGGCGGGCGGGGAAAAAAAAGAGAGGCAGCAAAAAAAAAGAAAAAAAGACAACTCCCCGAAGGAATCGGATGCACGAAAGCGCGTCGTCTCCCATCGCTATTAGACAACCAATACACATGACGCACATACACACATGCACGTACGCGTGTCTATCGTTGCGGACATGTAAATTTCTCGGTCGATTGCAAATGAGGTCCGCGTACACAATGGCCAACACTTTATACCATCTTCTTGCATGCACGAGTGCGAAAAAAAAAAACGCGCGTTCAAACCTCTATCGGATTTCACGCACATATATGTACATACACATGCGTATACGTGTAAAATGTGTATACGAGGAATGTCATTATCATCTCCACGGAGGTGGAGAAAGGAAATTGTGAAACTTGACGGGGGATAGTAGCAAAAAAACTACAACGGATGGATATAATAGCGCGAATTTCACGCGACAAGAGATGTATCAGTGGTATTGGGCAAAAAAAAAAATATAGGTTGCGCAATCCGACGTAACCGCCCCCTCAGCAGCAGTGAAAGTAACTGAGTTTTCACGTGGCAATGTTATCAGGAGGGGATTATCCTTTGGGAAATTGGATGTTGTTTCGGAATGAATTCTCTGCGTGCACTTTTATAATATTATTATTATTTTTTTTTTATACATCATTGCACTGTTTTTTGTTGTCGCTATTGTTTTCTTCGTTTGCAAGATCGTCGGGATTTGACCTCGCTGCTCTATTGCAAATTGAATTCCAATTTTATGACCCTATTACGAAACGTGCCACATGTTTCAATTTTTTTTTTTTCCACCGCGATTGTTTGAGAAAATTACCTCTCTGCGAAGCATCGACGTTATTTCAATTTATTAAAGGATGCGGCTGGTGCCATTAAGGTTGAAATCACGTAAGGTCACGCAAAGCCGTTGTTGTAATGCGGGAGAAAAATAAAGAAACGACCGTCGGCATTTTTATTTAATGCATTACAATATAATAACTCGGTAAACATTTATTTATTGCTGTACGTTTTTTTTTTTTTTTTTTTTTTCTTTTAACTGAAGAAGATTTAATTGTTTGCGATGAGGGAACGCAATGAAGGATGCATAAATGAACAATGTTTTGCGAGAGCCCGTGACTCACGAGAGTCGGATGTTAATTAAAAAAAAAAGTAGAGTTTTCCTCTCACGAGTTCCAGCGACGAGCGAGAGAAAATTATATCATTCGCGAAGCGTGCGAGTTAATTTCATCTCGTAAAATTACTTAGTGACAAATCGCGCGCTTACTTAACTCAAACTTTTACAATTAGCACCTGAACATTCGATGCTTAAATAATAGCTTACCTTTTTTTTATTTTTTAGTAAATATCTCGTAATTGTACCGTTCAATAAACTTTTCTTTATTAGTTGTCATTAATTTAAAAAAAAAACAAAGTAATTAAACTTTGGTCAACTCCCTCAACGTGTCAAAAGTTTTATCGATATTTAAATTTCTACGTATTTTGATAATAAAGTACAATCAATACGAAATTCAAAGAATATTTTGCATACTTGAAAGTACTGATTCACATAAAAATAAGCAAAATTGTATTGAATGCAACAATTTCTCACGTGAAACGGGATGCAATTTACGTGTCGTAACAAGTACCAAGCAACGTTGAAAATTAGGTTAAACTTAGGTCTAACACGATATAATGCACGCTTGACTAGCTACGTACCAAGTATACGCTCTTAACTCAAATTTAAGGTGCTTGTACATCCAAATAATCGCCCCTCTTTACCGTTTCCGCATGTGATGAAACTTAACCTACTTGTCATCGTTGCCTTAACTTTTCCAAACAGCACAGCATATAAATAACGTCACCCTTAACCCCAATGAAGCACGTGAAATTATTTATTTTCCAGAAAAGTGTAACTGAAGAGAAAAAACAATTCTAAATGTTCGCAGATCACTCTCTGTACGAGCCGACGCCGCTACAACTGGTACACATAACCTCAAATACAAGCTCAGACATAACCTCAACGTCTCAATCACGTAGTCTCGGCAACGGAAGTACGGAACAATTCACGCTCGTCAACGCGAACAACGCGTCGCAAGTGACGGGGGGCAACCTGTCGACCGTCATAACAGTCGTCGCGGCTTCTTCTTCTTCTTCCCTGCAAACGCTGTCCTCTTCCTCGAACACTGCCATAAAAATCTACAGCAGTACCACCAGCACAAGCACAACGACGACCACAACGACCACGACGACTACGACGACGGTAGCCCCATCCACGTTGCCGGTGATAGACAAAAACTCGACTCGCGCGGTGTACACACCCGGACACAAGGAGACCGTGGCTCACAAGTGCCCGGACTTTGGCAAATCCATTGATCTCGTGGTTGTCGTGATGTCGGCTCCATTGCACTACATGGCCAGAAACGCCATCAGATACACGTGGGGTCATTACGGTCAGCACAGGGACATCAGTATAGTCTTCATGCTGGGAAGAACCAACAACGTCAGCGTCGAGAAGGAATTGGATGCGGAAGTGCGCAAATACGGTGACATTGTTCGCGGCAACTTTGTTGACTCGTACTCGAATTTGACCCTTAAAACGTTGTCGGCTCTCGAGTGGGTGCACACCTATTGTTCGAAGGTGAAATTCGTGTTGAAGACGGACGACGACATGTTCATCAATTTTCCTAGGCTCGCGTTTTTCATCAACAAGCACAAGTCGTTCAAAAAGGTGATATTCGGCAAATTGGCGAAGAAATGGGGGGTCGTGAGGAACAAGAAGAGCAAATACTTCATCTCGGAGACTCAGTACAAAAACAGCTCGTATCCGAACTTTTGCACCGGTCCGGCTTACCTGATGTCCAGCGATGTGATACACGACCTCTACAAGAGGGCACTGGAGGAGGGCTTTTTCAAACTCGAGGATGTATTCATCACCGGAATAGTGGCCAATAAATTAGGTATTAGACGCATTGACTCCCCAGAGTTTCTCAACAGGAAAATCAGGTACGACGCGTGCAAGGTGCAAAAGAGCATCAGCATACACATGGTGACGTACAGCGAGCAATTTGAGCTCTGGAAGAAACTACTGGACGGCAAATCCAAGTGCAAATGATGAACTCTGTATAGGACTAATGTTGTTTGGTGATCGATTTCGTGTTTGTACGATGTATAATTTAATGTGGATTCGTTGGCTGGCTACGCTCGCTATAAGTACTCCATGCCAATAAATCGTGTATTCGATGATCGCACTAACGCGGTGAAGTAAGTGTCTCGATTTGAGGTTATGTGTTTTCTTACGGGTGAGTCTGTGCGTTTTAAAGTGATACTTAAGGAACCTTTTAGTATTAAACCAATCGAAATTATAAAGAGTAATCACAAGTATTGGATTGAAGGATGCGTTTGAGTCGATTCTTACTTTGCCAGCGTTACTGTGAAAAAAGATGATAGTTTTAATTACACATTGAGAGAAAAAAGTAATAAGAATGATAGAGAAATTCCAGAAAAAATTACCATTCTGCATGGTAAATCGGATGCAAGTTGGTAAAAAAGGAGAAAGTTATTATTTTTAACAGTAAAATTTATAGTTTGAATAGTTGGAATTAGGGTTAGAACACTATAAATTACTATGTGGGAGGGTTAAATTTATTAACCAATCATTTTGAGGTTAACTGTTCCAACCACAATTTTTACCATTTGAACTATAATTATTACTATTAAAACAATAATTTTTTTTTTTTTTTGACAGCTTGCATTTGATTTCTCATGCAGAGTGGTAATTTTTGCTGAAATTTCTGCATAATTCTTATTATTTTTTTTCTCTAGTGTACATTGTTACTTAAGTTAATCGTTAAAGGTGACACACCAATGTATTGTACACAAGTTTAATATGCAAAAGACTCTTTCGTCGAATCTTTGTTTACCTTTTGTATCAACGAAAGATTGTTGAAGCATTATTTTTTCATGTCTTATTATTAGATGATAATACATTAATTGTTTTATCTGTCGCATGGCAGAATGAACTGCAAAAGTGCCGTCAATTTTGATTTATTGATCATTACGTTTTATGATAAAATTTTTGCGATGTACGAGATTTTATCGAACCGAGTGCCTCTTTACGCGATAAAAGAAGGTAGGTTTGAAAAAAAAAAATTTTTCTTCAAAGAATATTCACTTTCCAGACGAAAAAAAAGATACTAGGAAGTAAACAAACTTACCGTGAAAGCGAAGGGCTTCAAGACAATCCTATTTTTCCAAATTAAACTCTTGTTATTGTTTTTTTTTTTTTCTGTCGTACATCTTGCGTAATGGTAAATCGATGATGCTTAGAAAAAAGCACACGGGATTCCGCTCGATCCTAATTGAATGACGCACTCGAAAAGTAGTTTCGCTTATCGCAAAAATCTTTTTATCTCAAACCTCTTGATCGCCATTTTTGCCCCACTGTATATAAACTTGAGCACCCAATGCACGAGTGTGTATGTGTGTGAAAAAGATAGCCGATAACGAGTGAAGTTGATCGAAGTAAATGGAGAGAGAGAGTTAGCTGGATTTTTTATATTTTTGAAAAAGTGCTGCGACTAGTGTTTGTACATGCGAATCCAATTGTACTTAAACAAAGGTATATATATATACTCGATTTTTCAAGCATTTTGATAATGTTGTCGGCGCAATTTTTCTCTCTGACATGAAACGCATAATCCTTAATTTTGAATCTTTATATTTTCTTTTTCGTTAGTCTTTTTTTTTTTACATAATATTATCTAGTCAACGCCTAGATAATTATACTCACGTTTTAAGTAGTTGCATGGACTTTTTGAATTGTTTTCGTTTCTGGTTGTCGAATTTTTCGTACGAATCGTCCAATGAGTTATGGTTTCTGTTTTCCATTTCGCATGAATTTTTTTAAAATCGGAACGATAAAAATTATTAGTTTCTTAAGTGCCATAAAAAAAATGAAAAGTGTGAAATTCATGAGATACTGTAATTTTCGACACTGGAATTCAAGGAGAAAACTTTGTTCCTATGTGCGTCATAATTTTTCCATCTATGAAAAAATAAGAAAAAAAAAGAGAAAAAGGTTTCATGTTGCCTTATTAGTTTTATGTGAATTAGATTTTAAGATAATTTTTAAGTAAGAATTCCCTTACGATCGAATTTATGCATATACTTATATATTATTTTACTTGCCAAAATTGTATATCAACGAATTTGCTTTGATGAAAATTTATTTTCGTAATGATTTTTACGAGAATCATTGCCATTTGAAATTATTTTTAATTTTAAATAAATTATTATTTATTTATTTTTTTTTTTTGCTTCTTCGTCACGTATATTGTTGCGGGAAAAGCAAAAAATACTTTTGGCTTTTCGAGTGACGCGTATAACAGTGGCGGGGCACAGTGTGTACAATTAATCTTGCCGGAAAGCTCGCCGAGCTTGTACATATACTTGAATTTTCGATTCGAAGGTGTCGAGGGAGAGACATGTAGCTTCGAGGAAGGAAGGATTCTATGTGAAAAAGAGGGTGGAACATAGGGGGGCGAGAAGAAAAAAAAAAACATTTCGAGCAACATACCCACCCACGAAGGAGAGTGTATATACATGTATATATTCACGTACACGCAGTAGTTGGTCCTCGAGGGGTTGGGGGGGTGCGTTGGTCGAAGACATGAGCGACGACATAACCTCAACGCCAGTAGTATCGGTGGCGCGGGTGCAGTGCGAAAAGGAGGCTTGCGAACGCCACTGGTGGTGCTACATTGTCAGCCTTGACAGCGCTCTGCAGGAGGAAGCAGACGAAGAGGACGGCCCAAAGTGGACGGAGATGGTGCTAGGACGGCGATAAAAAAAAAAAGAAAAAAAAAAGCTTATGGCGAGACACCGTCGGGGCGTCAAGAGCAGGCCTCCGGATTGTTATCGCTACTTTAGCTGCTACTGTAGGACCACGACAGCGACCATTAGTTGAAAACGGTACACGCACGCTGATAAGGAACAGAAGGCGGTGAAGGGAGGATTCTGGGGGGGGGAGGGTTGTTTTTTTTTAAATCCATTATTATTAATTTTTTACTTCATCGATCCAGTGCTGTGAAAGAGTTTTTCCTCTTGTTGTTGTTCCCGTTGTTGTTGTTGTTGTTTGTTGTTTCTGTTATCGCGCTCGAGGAGAAGACTTGCAGGAAGTGGTGGGCACAGTAGTCATGAGCTTCCTAAGCCTGCGCAATCGTGTCCTGCAGACCATCATACTCGGCCTCATTGGCCTCACGTTCTACACGTACTATAGGACCACCGACACTGACATCCAGCAATATGCCCTTATCAGGCACTACAGTAAGTAACTTTTTTTTTTTTTTTCTTAAATTTACGTTTGTACGTGTGCTTCATTCGTTGGGGTTGTTGATGACTTTAAACGCTTTTAGGTTCCCCCCCCCCCTTTTTTTTTAGCTCGATTGCCTATTTGCGAGTCGTATGTATACATATTTGATAAGCTATTGATAAAATTTGCATGAATTTGAATACGGTCGCGAGAGCTTGCGCTGGCATTTGCCACTTGCTTATTACCCCAACAAAACTATAATGCTTTATTTCAAACTTGCGAATTGATCGGTTATTTCATGGATGTACTTTTACTTGTGTTCTCATCGTTAGTTTCTTTCTTTGTTATTTCGAAATGGTTAACATTTTTTTCGATTATTTTTAATGACCTTGGTTTAGTGATATTTTTTTTTTTTTTTTTTTGAAGCTTCCAGATAATTTTTTTTTCGACGACACAGTGAAATATTAATGGCTTGAATAATTATCGCGTAGACACACCTGAAGAATTAAAAAACGAATTTGCTTGTTTAAAGATTACACCTGAAATTAAACTTTTATTCTGTGTTTAAATGAGACTTTGTTTCGTTAATTGTGGTAGCATAAAACTTTATACTGCCAAACAGTTAATGTAACAGTTTGTGGCTCAAACCAAACTACGTTTAAAATAAGATTACGTCTGAAACTCAGGTATATACAATTACATCAAAGTTACGAGACCAATACTCTGCCAATATTCAATTATAATCTGGTGAATTGAGGAGCCGATACCTCAAAATAACAAAATTATCGTTCGAAACCGCAACCCACAACTAGTATGTTTTTTTACTACGAATAAATGAAACTAACTTCGTTGTAATTCATCATTTTTCGTTACTTTGATTTCCAATGCTTGTACTGAAATTCACGGGATAAATTAAAACACCGGGCACTTATTGACTCAGCTGTTTTCTTACATCATTCGACATCGAGCCTCTTTCCCACTGAATTAATGAAAAATCCGACATTCCAAGCGGCATGAAAATTTTTCCACGCGCAAGACACAAGTAAAATCAATCGATAAAACGACCGTGGAAAAATAAAACTTCCGTGTGTCCACGCCTCCAAACGTAATCGCCTTATTGCTAATATCGTTTAATCCCCTCGTCAAACACCGTCTGCGTGGAAAAAACATTTTTTTCCCCCAGAGCACACGTGACCGCGTGTCTTTGCTCAGGTTACACTAACTACACCCACGTAATGCCAACCGGCACTCAACCAAGTAACCCAATACTAATTATCTCGACGTCCGTTTTGATACTCCCGTTACCACTCGTTTCCTCGGCACAGGGTTTTGGAAGGAGGGTCTCGAAATTCCCGCCATGCGAACATCACAAGGCTAATTTGGTGTCAGACGTCAATAAACGTTTTCGCTATAGTCGTCCCACATAAGTTGGAATCGATCACAACCGGACGCATAAACTCGTCGGGCTAGTTTTAACGGAGATCCGGTAATTGATCTTCCCTCGTCGCCTAACACAGCGTCGAAACTTGTGTTCAATTTACTTTCCAACTTGACTTTTGGACGAGCACAATGTTTACTGATTTACGGAAAATGGCACTTGTGTGTCTTTAATTGACGTATATCATACCGGTCAATTCATCGAGGCGGTACGAGTACAATGTGTAGTATAGATAATATTCTTGTCGTTTGGAGTTGCACTATCTGAAGATTTGACTGAGATTTTTTTACTTTACTCGTGCCTCCACTTGTTGTTACGTTATCAATTGTCAAGGTAAATTCATGATTTAACTTTTTCCTTACTGCTTACGCACTTCAAAGTTGGTGCTTATCATTGAGATTTTTAACGGTGTGACCTCAGTTTTTTATTTTTTTGATAAAATCTTTTGTTGTTATTAGATTTCGTGATTGTTTTTGATTTTGCCATTTTTTCACGAACAAATATAGACACTGCACGCGAAGACGCGGGATAGCTTTCAAATCAGCAGGATGCCAGTGTCTCAGAGTCGTCGCGACGAGTCTCGTCCGACCATCCATTCATACATTCATTTATTCATGAAGGGAAAATCGATTTACCGGCGAGTTCAGTGCACACGTGTGTGTGCACACACCGAAGAAAAATCAAACGATAAATTTCTCCGAGTGAATGGGAGCTCCTGAGATGTTATAGGAGAGTAGCTTTTTTTCTTTCCTCTTCTTTTTTATTTTAAGAACAAAAAAATTGTATTGCGAGGTGGTTTAAGTTATTTATAAGTGTCTGGTATCATTAAGGCGGAGTACTGAGCGTTTACCTGAAAATGTCTTGAAGAGTAACAATGTAATTTGACAGTTGGGTGGAAACGCAAAGAAAAAGTATTGTGATGCATAGCTCAAGTACTTTTTTGTTTATATCCAATAGAAACAATTTTCGTATTTAAATAACTTTACAACTTGATTGATCGTATAGTTGAGCTTAAAAGGATCTTGTCTTGTATTATCATCTCGGGAGATCAAAACTAAATTCTTTATCGCGGAATTCGGGGCACGACAAGAATTGTAAAATCAAGAAACGAGTCGTGACGGGAATACTTAAACAAACATCGTGCCAAAATCTTGTTGCTTGAAAGTATCGTAAATCGAAATCAAGTTCTTACTGACAACTTTTTTTTTCTTTTGTTTCTTTTTTTATTAAAAACCAGCCAATGAATAAACAAATATTTCACAGCCTATATTTTTATTTCTAAACCACATCAAGTCTCCTTTTTTTCTTCGAGCACGTTTAAAATCTCAGTTTTTTCATGATTAACCACAATTTACGCTTTTACAGCTTCGGGACTACTGCAGTAAATAAAACTTGTGAAAAATAAATAAGAGTTAAATCGAGATAAAAACACGACTTTCCGGAATTTTTTAAGACAGAGGCTATACCCTAAAAAAATAACTAGCATCAGCTTATTACAATTAAGTGAATAAANATTTATTATTTTTCACTATGAAATAATAGAAAATATTTACACTTGGGTATCTATATAACGAAAAAAAAAATTACTTCCAAACAATGACATATCAATACACGATGATATTCTTGTGTAGCTCTGCAAAAAATGTATGACTGTACTGATGTAAAAAAAAAAAAGTGGGACCAAGAATCCCGTTGTGAAGTGAAGCACAGAACATTTAAAAAGAAAAGAAAAAAAAAGTTTTAAGAACATTTTTATACTATACGCTATAAAATGTATGATATAGCTAGTACACATTTACGACGACAAGAAGCTTCGATAACATAATCCGCAGAGATTCTAAAAATATATTCTAAAGAAACTTGATCCTCGAGCAAATACTTCAGATTATATACGTAAACGAGGATTTTAAAAAGAATTTACAATTTACAAATGTCACGCATCAATAAACAAAATACTTGGACTTTACAAATTTTATTAATTCAAGTATCTTGTAACCATTTAAAACTATTTGTGAAATTTACATATTATCAAGTAAAGTGATGTTTAAAATAATACCAAGTACAAAATTGTAAAATTTTTTATTATCCACTTTTTAAATATGTAAACATTCAAAGCTCCTATACAAATTAAAACCTTTAGCCTTTCCTCGTGTATACGTAAAAACTATAAATTTAATTCGACATCAATCTAAAATTTACATATACACGTCTCTTCAATATTATGCGTCTGAATCAATACACCATAAATGTACTTTGTATATATTTTGGGTACTGTATATACATTGATTTACGATATACATAAAACCGACTTCTATTTAAAAAATCTTTGTATCGAACGTCATAAAGAAATACATGGACATGTATACACAAATAAATCGAACAAAGTCAATTTACAAGCGAAGACAAAAAAAAGGAGGTCACCGCGACATGACACACTACAACCAGTCGTTCACTCTTTGCTTTTCTGTTTCTTTTACCCTATTTAACCGGATAACTTGCGCGAGCTACAACGACAAATTAATTTCGAATTTATAAACGTTGATGGTGACAACCCAGTGACATGCACTTCTGATGTATATTATAAACATACGAGGGTGCGATATGGTTATTTTTTCTCCTTTGTCATACAGTCAACTGATACGATACGTATTTACACGGACAGTAGGCCGCTGACCGCGATATACCACTACCGTGAGAGACGATTAACGCGGTCATCGCTGTGCATACACCTACTTTTTTGTAAACACAATACCTCGTTGCTGATCAAATATTAAAGCAGATTGGCTTTGTCTTCCGATTAATTACTGAAGAAGGAGAAATTCGATCGCTTACGAGTATCCTCTTGTCACGAGCATACGCATATTCCTCGTAGTAAATAAATAATCGGTTATCAGCTCATAAGTACAAAGTATACAAACGATTAACTGCTCTTGTTATTTTTGATGTAATAAAACGCATTTATTGGTTTATTAATGCTTTTTTTAATCCAAGAGGAATCCTCCAATTGAGCCGTACAACTCATGAGCGTGTATTATATCATAATCATTATCACAAAACTCCCATGACTTCAAGCGTAAACTGTTGAATATTGAAGCATTTTTTTCATACGATCGTCACTGAAACGAATATACATTACCCTCTACCGCATTCTTGGCTTAAATGATGGGTATGCATTTTTTTATTAAATACTACTCTGGAGAAAAATGTGCAACATTGTTTAAATTGTGCACAAGTCAAAAAGAGCATCATCAGTCAATTAATGTTATTCCAGAAGCTAATACGTTTATTTGTACGGTAGCAAGAAAAACGAGCCATTTTTTCGACATGTGCACGCAGGATGATGTCAATGTCCGCAATAAAATTTGAGGTTTATTTATACATACGTATAACACCGTCTCAATTATTTTATAATCTAGTTATGACTTTCAGTAGTTATTAGTTGCTTTGCTAATTAATTTTGTTTATTTTTTATTATATGTATAAGCATCAATACCTTTAAGAAATAACTAGTATGTTAGTGTGACTATCAATTTTTCATGACATGTATTGCTTGCAATGAATATTCTTTTTTTAGAT